CAAAGTAATAGGAAAGCAAAGGAATGACTCGCTTACCGAAATATTTCTCGATGGCTTTTGACGTTCCAATTGTAATTGCCTTTACTAACAAGTTCAAAAAACTCAGTCCTTCTCCTGCAACAAAACACATAATCAGGAGGAAAAACCAGAAACTTCTGGAGCTGTTGTGATATAAACAAATTTTCTGTGAGAACACAAGATCGCTGTACCTCCTGCACTAATGTTAGAAAATGTTAAGTTGACAAGCTATTTCAATGAACCATTTTAATTTTGAAACATGCCTTATAACAGCCTAGCACTATCAGATCTGTCAGATAATAGATGTACATACACACATCACTATATCGCACCTCAGTTTTTATGGAAGGATGAAATGTTCTGCCTGTAACAACATATAGCCAATAGGACCATATGTACATAAAACGTATATTAAATGGTGATACTTTGCCTTTCATCTGAGGATATCTCAGGGCTTCCCAAAGATGGGTAAATATTATTTCCAGCTGAGGCACAGAAAGGTTTAATGACTTGTCTAAGGTCACGTATTGAGTTGGTGGTAGAGTCCTGAATAGAAGCAAGAATGACTGACTTTCTCATGCTCTAATCACTAGAGCACCCTGCTTCCTTCTACAAGACTGAGTGGGGAAAAATACCGAAAGGAAGGCAATACATAGTTGTTGCATGTTAACCCAAGAAGAGATGCTACACAGTCTGTCCATCAAACCACAACTGCAAAGTAAACATGGCTCACTGGGTGTGTCTACACTGTAATAAAACACCTGCAGCTTGCCTGTGTCAGCTGACTTGGGCTTGCAGCTATAACATTGCATTGGGCTGGAGTCCTAGAGTGTGACGATGCGGTTCTGGCGGAACCCAACTGAGAGTGCCAACTCAGGACAAATTGCTCAAACAGGGCAGTTACAGCCCAAGGCTGGGGGTTTTTCCACCTCTAAGGCAAACCAAACCAGCCAGACTAAGAGTACTTCGGTCTCACCCCACTGGCTAACCGCAAGTCTCACAAGCAATCTCCTTAGACACTCCAGTTTCCCAGTATTACCACCAGTGCCACTCGTTATGGGGACAAATGGTTATGAAAACCAAGACCCCAGTAAAAGAAAACGGTTCTCCTGATCCCAAAGGACCAAGCCCCAGACCCAGGTCAATATACAAATCAGATCTTATCCACAAATCACGCTGTTGCCAATCCTTTAGGATCTAAAATCTAAAGGTTTATTCATAAAAGGAAAAAGATAGAGATGAGAGTTAGAAATTGGTTAAATGGAATCAATTACATACAGTAATGGCAAAGTTCTTGGTTCAGGCTTGCAGCAGCGATAGAATAAACTGCAGGTTCAAATCAAGTCTCTGGAATACATCCCCCGCTGGGATGGGTCCTCAGTCCTTTGTTCAAAGCTTCAGCTTGTAGCAAAGTTCCTCCAGAGGTGTGAAGCAGGATTGAAGACAAAATGGAGATGAGGCATCAGCCTTATATAGTCTTTTCCAGGTGTAAGAACACCTCTTTGTTCTTACTGTGGAAAATTACAGCAAAATGGAGCCTGGAGTCACCTGGGCCAGTCCCTGCATACTTTGCTGAGTCTGAAGGCATATTTGCCTTCTCTCAATGGGTCCATTGTATAGCTGATGGTCCTTAATGGGCCATCAAGCAGGCTAGGCAGAGCTAATCCCAGCTTGTCTGGGATGTCACCCAGAAGCATAGCATAAATTTGCCATACAGACAGTATAGAGCCAATATTCATAACTTCAACTACAAAAACTGATACACACATATAGACAGCATAATCATAACCAGTAAACCATAACCTTGTCTTAGACACCCCATTTGACCCCTTTATACAAGATTTGGGTGCCACTACAGGACCTTGGTTGCAACAATGATCTATATGGTCCCAGTTTATGTCAATAACGTCACATAGAGCCTGGGCTCCAACCTGAGACCAAATACCTACACTGCAATTTTATAGCTATGAGCCCAAGTCAGCTGTTGCAGGACAGCTGCAGGTGTTTTACGGTAGTGTAGACATGCTCACTGCTTGCTTATATCATGATAAACTAGCCTGAGGATAAAGGCAGCAAATGTTGGTGCCAGGTCAAGATTCACTGCTAGAAACCTCCAAATACCTGTCTTCCCTCAGCTAATGGCCCTGTAGTTACCAGTTAACTCACATGTGGACAGCGCAGGGTTTATGACTACTCCTACCCTCACCTGCCTGTGCTAACTTCTCAGTGAAGTTGACCAATATTGCCACCTCTGGCACAAGAAAGAACATAACCCATTACGTTTACACCCCCCCTGGACAGGCATAGGAAAGATAGCATCAGTCAATGTTTTTAGTTTTGTCTATTGATTTACAGCTTTCCTGTTACGGAAACATTTTTTTTATGAATTCATGTTCTTGCATTTTAAAATAATAAAGAACAAACTCTGCCTTTTAAATCTAAAACACAAGGATCATTCACAGGGGAAAACTGACCCATAGTAAAATGGGTCCAATCATGTTAAGGCTGGCTTGGGGCTTTCTCACTAACCTACAAATAGACTGTCCTAAGTCAAGAATTTCAACAAGGTGCCACTGTAACGAGGGCCCCATCGTGCCAGGTGCTGTACAAACATAGTGAGAGAGAGAGAGTCCTTGCCCCCCTGAGAATTTTCTGTCTAAATATCAGACAGACAGGACAGCAGGGAAACAGAAGCACAGACCTTCTCCAAGGTCACACAGTAGATTAGTGTCAGAGCTGTGAAGATTTCAGAGGTACGTCTACACAGCATTTTGGAGCGAGTCTCAGGCTAGAAGGCTCACACTAGCACTCTAAAAATAGCTGTATAGAAAGCACTTCGAAGTTGCAGTTCCGGCTCTGAAGACCACCCCTCTCCATATGCCTCACAGCCCAAGCTCCAGCCCCAGTCACAACTTCACAGTGGTTTCTATACAGCTACTTTTAGAGTGCTAGTGTGAGCTTTCTAGCCTGAGGCTCACTCTAAAATGCTGTGTAGACGTACCTCTGCTACCCTAACTGTCTTGAGTGGCAGTCCTGTGCCCTATCCTATAGTAGACCCTGCTGCCTCTGTATCAAGCAAAGGTATAGTTAGATTCCTAGCATGACAGAGCTTAATGAGCAGCGCCGCCCAGAGGATTCAGGGAGCCTGGGGCAAAGCGGGGGAGCTGCGGCACTTGTACTCACCCGGCGGTGGTGCGGGTCTTCGGCAGCATTTCGGTGGCGGGGGGCCCTACTGTTGCTCCGCGTCTTCGGCAGCACTGAAGGACCCGATGCCGCCGAAGACCTGGAGCGACTGAAGGGCCCCC